GTTACGTTTTCATTTCTTTTTCTCTGATTTGATATTCATTTCCGTTGGGGACAGAATATAGGCTGGCAGCCAGGAGTTGGGAATGCAATCTCTCTTCTCTAATTTCGACCACGCTGAAATGCTGCTCTCATCAAACATCTTATTGACTGCGCTTCCTTAATTTGAAATCATTTCTTTATGATGTATCTGGTGGGCCTGATCTGCCAATCTACAAATATTTGCTTATTTTTATTAATCATGAAAGTGCAAGTCAAAGCACAGCTTTTGGATGTTGGTTCTAGGAATTGAACTCATGCCTTCAGGCTTGTGAGGTGGAATTAAACTTATGTCTTCGGGCTTATGAGTAAAGTGTTCCTTCCTGCTCAGTCACCTCACCAGCCCCTACAAATATTTATTGACACAATCTTCAATTGATAACCTAGAGGAGTTATTTTGAAAAATCAGTGCAGTTATCTTATTGCAATAGATTTTGATGTCATAACTCTAGCCACATTGTATTAGTTAGCTATGTGATATAAAAAGCCGTCTCAGACCTCCATGCTTTTATTTTTGTGTGTTTGTGAGGGCAAAGTCTACTCCAGGGCTGTCTCAAATTTGGTAGATAGTTGAGGATGATCTTGAACTTTGTATCCTCCTGACTCTACCTCCTGAGTTTGAGCACTGGGATTACCAGTATTTATGTGGTACTTCGGATCAGACTTGAGCTTTGTATACGCTAAGTAAATACTCTACAAATTAAGCTATATTCCCACCACAAAATTTCTGTACTTGAAGTAAAAATCAGTTCATTACTAGAGTTCATGCATCCCCACTGTCGGGGATTAGTTGAGGAGTCAGGTGAGTGACTGATAGTTCCAGCTACATTCACTCACAGCCCTAAGGCTAGCAGGGAGTGGGTGGCTTGGCTCGGCTCATTTTGGCATGCCTGTGATCTGTGAGGCTGTGCTCCTTCCTCTGGGATCAAGAGATTGATTATCCTAGTGAATCCTTCTTGTGTGATAGTAAAATTGCAAGAACATAAAGCCAGTCTTAGATGACACATTTCATGGTTCTGCTGGATTGAGAAGCTAAAGGACATTGGCCAGTCTAAGTTACGTGGCCACGCTGGAGACACTGAAAGCTCATACATCAAAAGGCACAGTTGGAGGGCCTGATGGCTTGATTAGACCAAGACTTACCTAGGAAAGTTGCCCCTGGACATGCTTGTGAGAAATTACCTTGATTCGGTTAATTCAGCCAAAATACTCCCCTAAATATGGGCAGCACCATCCCTATTGGATTGGGGTCCTAGACTACCTAAAAAGGAGAAAGCTGACTGGGTATCGACATTCATTGTCCTCTGCTTCTTGAGTACAATGTGACTGTGTGCCTCACACTCCAACCACCATGCTTTCCCACCCATGATGGGCCTCCCTTAAACCATACTTAAGTTGCTTGTGTCAGGATATTTTATCACGGCAATAACTAGTACATAATGGCAAAAGTGACGAGTTAGCAGTGGACCCTTTCAACCATTGCAGCTTCTGTCCAATTGCTGCAATCCCAAAGCCACAGAGGAGACAGAGGCAAGGCATATCTGTGTCTGACCACTGGGAATAGTATAAATAGTCTCAAATACAGGCTTTTAAAAATACTATCAAATGTTAAAGAATGAGAAAAAAGCCACAGTGCTCCGTATGATTGTCTTCATCTACATTGACTGCTCAGGCATGCTGCCTTTGTCTCTTATCATCAACAATGGTGTATTATTTATACCAAGGCTTTCCTTAGTATATTATGGCACTTTCCTTTACTATTGAAAAGGCTTTGTAAATATAATGTCAATGTCTATATAAATATTCCACTGTATAGATAAACTATAATCCACCTCATCTTCCTCTCAACGGATTTTTGTTTCGCAAGTTTTATCCTTCTAAAGAAGGGTGCAGGGAGCATATTTTGCATGCATCTTCATCCATATTCTGACTTGCTTCCTTCGTGGATGCTGGTAGGAATGCAGCAATCTGGGGTCTGACCTCAGGTGGCAATGTAGGAGACTTAGACGTCAATCTCTTCATCTATAAAAATGACACCTTTGAGCTTGAGCTTCATCTTGACTCAAAATGTCTTCAAGATGGAGGGCTAAACCTCACTACTGGAATGGCAGCATGAAGGCGATGCCAGTTGTTTTTCCTCATCTAAGTTGAGGGAAGCAGAGCCTTGGACCTCTCAGTTAGAAGACTTCTATAGTCTTCAGGAGAGTAGGCTTTCTGTTCAGCTATTGTTGCTTGCACCACAGCCTCTCCTTCCAGGACAGCAATGGTTATGTTTTTAGATAGGACCAGGGGATGGGCATGAAGAGGAAATACTGTTCTTTCCTGGTTCCAGCATGCTCTTCTCTATTGACAATGGTTTTACTCAACCAGAAGAACCAATTTCATCTTCCTTTTGGGCTTCAGGTTCAAGTGTACTTTCTTTTTGTTGTTGTTCTCGAGTCAGAGTTTCTGTGTGTAGCCTTGGCTGTCCTGGACTCTTGTAGAACAGGCTGACCTTGAGCTCACAGTGATTCTCCTGATTTTATAGGTATGTAGTACCATGCTGGCTTCAACTATACTTTCTGCATTTAACTTTGCCTGTTGTGTGCATTGTGAATTAAATTTGGGCCACAATAACTTTGATTGTAACATCAGGACATATGAAACGGCCTCACAATTTGCTGGTTATTGCTTAAGGCCATTTTCCCAGAGATGTTCCTTGCTCTTTGTTTTATTATATCCAAGGCTAAATTTCTTCCTACTATAACCCTTCTAACTTCTGCTGGTGGCAAACAGGGTCTAATTTGAGCTGTGAATATGATTTTTACAAGCAGCAGCTTCTCATTGTTGAGTAGAGAAAGGGGTCCAACACCCTCTCTCTGCATCTCCCTTCTTTCCCCACTCTGTCCTAGCATGTCTTCCCATGGCTTCCTGGCTATGGACAGTCTTCTAATTCTGAGCCTCCTTGTGGGAGTCAGTAGTCTTCTTTTGGCCTGTGGTTTACTTGTTTCTATAAGCTAAGCAGGGTGCCCATCTGGCCAGCAGAATTGTGTGTCAAGAACAGTGTGGTCTCCCTTCTCTGGCAGCCATTAAAAGGCCCTTTGTTCCCTCCTAGCCCCTCCTGGTCCAGGATGTCGCCCACACCCTATGATGGAAATCCCCCGCCCCATCACACCAGACACTCAGCAGCTTGTAGAACTCACTCTAAAAGCAGAATGCCACCTTGTGAGTGGGAACCTAACCTTTTCTGTGCTCAAAGGAAATAGCTTATGGGGTTCAAGTTTATCTTTGTGAACTTTTGCTTTTTGCCACCATTCCCACAGTTCTCTCTTTAGCTGTTCTGTATGATTTTTCAAGTATCTTTTAACATATATGTGTATTATATGTATGGAAATAAGAGTTATAGTTTTGAGTATGTGTTCACAGTGGGAACTGCTTTGCACCCCTGAAGAGTTATGTATCACCAAGCGGGCGGGGTTTGTTTTCAAAAAGCAGAGGAACATGGCTGCTTTGTGTATGCCCCATCTTAGTAAGGCTGGTGTCTAGCGAGGGCCATGGACTTTGGGAACTGCTGGCTTTTCCTTTTTCTCTGCATGTTTCCAGGCTTTTGGCTCTCCCTTCCTCTTACCGCACCCTCTGTTCCTGCAGTGCTGGGCTGAGTAATTTGCTCTGAAGCAATTTGGTGCAGCTTAAACTCCAGGGCAGTGTGTGTCCAGTGACTGAGGAACCCCACCAGCTGCATCTTGCTTCTTAGCAGTTATCTCTCTGCAGCTCAGTGATCATCCTGAAAGCCTTGGCAGTAGGACAGGACCCAGGCTCACCAAGACCCAACCTCCTCCCTAGATGAGTATTTTATCCATTTCAGCCAAACAAGCCCAGAACTTTTCTAGAGGTCTGTGCAATGTATCTGAAGTCTAGTTAAGTTTGAGATGTAGTTAGGGAAGCAGAAGAAAGCATAAACTCAGGAATTTGAGAAGTGCAGACAGAGTGTGTGTGTGTGTGGGGGGGGGCGAAGCCCTCTGTCATGAGGCCTTGATTGCCAACCATTAGCCTCTTTTTCTTTTTTTCTTTCTTTCTTTTCTTTTTTTTTTCTATATTTACTATTAAATAGACAGCATATTTACTTGGTTTGAAAACTGAAAAGTATAACATACATTTTTGTTTTTTTTTTCTTTTTCAAGACAGGGTTTCTCTATGTAGTCCTGTCTGTCCTGGAATTCATTCTATAGATCAGGCTGGCCTTGAGATCCTCCTGCCTTTGCCTCCCTAGTGCTGAGATTAAAGGCTCGAACTGCCATGTTACACATTTTAAAACCTCCCTCCCATCTTGTTCTCCACACACTTAGCTTCCTTCTTGCAATGCCCAGGATGCCCAGGGCACTAGCCGTTTTTCCTTTACCATGATAAAACACTGTGACCAAGATAACCTATAGAAGACTGATGCTTCCAGAGGGCTAGAGTCAGTCATGGCAAGGAATTCTGGCCACAGGTAATAGAAATAGTGGCAGGAATAGCTGAGAGCTGCGAGCTCATGTCTGCAGCTATAAGCAGGATAACAGAGTGTGCCCTGGAATGGCTTGTGCTTTTGAAACCTCACTGCCCACCCCTGACCCCCAACCCCAGTGACAGACTTCTCTCGGCAAGGCCACACCTCTTCAACCTCAAGCAGCTCCACCAACTAGAAATCAAGTATTCAACTATCCAAGCCTGTGGGGACATTCTCATTCAAACCACCACACCCAGTTTCTGTCTTTTCCATCTAACCCTTCTAGCATTTCTTCAGGCCTATTACTCCAGGAGTATTCAAACAGATTTTTTTCCATTCATTTCTTCATCCATGTATCTTTCCTCTCACATACTATTTCCCTTATACTCCTCTCATTAGTCCTTTCACTGAGGTTTGGTCAATGAGTGGTCAGTTGTCACATGTCCCACTTATTCCTAGTGTCCACATTTGCTCACCTGTGGCTTGTCCTTTTCCCACAGAGGAGGCGGAGAGTGAGAAATGGTACCTGTCTACAGAGTTTCCTTCAGCCACCATCAAGACAGAGCCAATCACAGAGGAGCAACCCCCAGGACTTGTTCCCTCTGTCACTCTGACCATCACAGCCATTTCCACTCCTTTTGAAAATGAAGAGTCCCCTCTGGATATGAATACTGGGGTATATCCAGTTTTCTTCCTTATAAATATAGAGCTCAAAAGGTAGAGCTCTTTGGCCTACAATGAGGCATCCTAGGAGATACATGTATTTGAGGGAGAATGGCTACACATGTATGCATGCATTCATGTGTGTATGTGTGCACGAGTGTATCAAGAATATGTTACTTGTTATCAACATTGATTATGATGACTTTCAAAAGCATTGTGCAGAAAAAGCAGTAGCAAAGCTGATTGTCACTAATTGCCACTATGAAATTAAAAACACTGATGAATATCCATAGTAAAAATACAGCAGTTGCCCATGGCACTGATTTTCATTCCAGTGGGAGAGGAATGCTTGAGGTTATTGTAGGGTCTGTATCACCCACTGCCATTGTGGGTATGAATGCTGGTTCTAGAAGGATTCTTCCTTTTATGGAACACTGTTGCTCTTACCCAACCCAGGAATCTCCTGCCTGCTGATTCACATATGCTTTGTTACCGGTGGAGATCATAGGAAAGCAGGAGTTCCCTCCTTCCTTAAGTCCATGACTGTGGAATGTAGAATTAATTGTACTCGTCCTTAACCTGGGTGTCTGATGACAAACCAGAATCATGCTTGTGTATCTTCCAGTCAGAAGGTCAAAGCCTCAGTTGCAGTGGGTCCAGAAATATCCATGTAGTTACAAATCCTATCAGGAACATGCAGTGTCTGTCTGGTCCTGAAAAGGTAACATATTGGGAGAGGCAAAAACACATTGCAGCCTCCTTTTTAAGGAGATCTGCATTGCAGTTTTGAATTTTTTTTTTTTTTTTCCCTCAGTATCTATCTAGGTCCTGGATAGGTTTTGGAGATCTATATGGTCTCCTTGCTACACAAGATTTTGGCTCAATTGATTTATGCATGTGTGTGTGTGTGTGTGTGTGTGTGTGTGTGTGTGTGTGTGTATAAATCACTAAGGTCAGAAGGGGGCATTGAAGCCCCTTCAATTGGGTTTACATGTGGTTGTGAGCTACTGTGTGGGTGCTGGGAACTAAATCCAGGTCTCTAAGAGCAGCAAGTGCTCTGAACTCCTGAGTGACCTCTTCAGGCTGTGGTTGGTTTTGAAGTATGTATGTACCTAGCACTTTGATCCTGACCTGCTTCCTTCTCTCCTTTCCATTATGGGTATCTTATAGTTAGATATTATCAGTCATTGAGGAGTCTGGAGGGATAGCATGTACCCTGAGGCACATTGTCCTATTGCAGGACAAACTGGGGACCTAGGATTCTTTGACATTTTTCCAGAATATTTTACCATAAAATTCTTCATCATAACAACAGTGAGCCTTGGATTTTAACTAGAGTTGGCAGGTCCCAGGTTTGGCTATGAGAAGTTGCAGCTCATGCCTTTCTGTACTGGCCACAGACATATCCCTGTTTCGTAAAGGCCATTACTAAGTTAAAACACTCATGTTTGAAATTCCTTTTCCAGGTGGACTCCTCGTGCCAGACACTTATTCCTAAGATTAAGTTAGAGCCTCATGAAGTGGATCAGTTCTTAAACTTCTCTCCTAAAGAAGGTGAGCTCATCACCCTCCCTCTCATAACCAGGTGCTCATTGTAATGGAGAGCAGACACAGTAGAGTATAGGATTACAGAGGTAGCTGGCTGTATGAAGTAATTCTGTTTTTTAAAAGTCTTGATTCCAAAGAAATATTTTGAAAGTTGAACAGTTACATGATAAAATTATTTCTCTATATCTTATCTCCTTTATTTTCAGCTAAGCGTTAGTGTGGCTTGATGCTTTCCAAGGATGAGTCTTTAGACTCGTTATTGACCGCCGTGACAGGTGTGCACATGATGAAACCCATTTGTCCTTATGCCCTCCCCGTGTAAACCCACTAGCATGCCACAGGTGCACAGCAGTCCACGGTGGCACTGTTAACTGAAACTTGAGTTTTAACCCTCTATAAATGACGTTGTAATGTGTGTACACAGCCAGAGCATGTTCATAGCTGTTCTATTTGGGTGATAGATAGTTGGGACAAGCTCCTTTCCTTGGTAATGCTCATGGCCCAGAAGATACACCTCTCTGGGCTTCTTGTTATTCATTTAGAACCCAATCATGCCATCCTTGGAGCTGTCTACTTTTTGTTCATTCTCTACATCTTTTCTTTTTCTTTCTGGCTGCCCCTCTATGTTCTCCCATGAGACTGAGTTGGGATACTGGACACAGACCTTCCACCTCAGGAGGTCACAGGATGCAGCCAGTTCCTCTTTTATACAGAACAGAGCCGACTCTTCTCAATTCTGTGTCGTTGGCATTGCACCTTCCTTTTGTTTACACGTTCAACACGTGTGTAGATGTACAGTTTATTGTATTAGAAAGAAGGTGTGTGTGCCATAGTGTGCAAAAGAGCACACATTGTATATGAGCACTAGAGTATAATTTACCCTCGTGCCTTTAGAACCTGGCTCAGGGCTGGATCTGAGACCACTGAGTCAGGGCTGGCCCTTTGTTAGCTACGAAGAAGTTAAGAGGTAATACTATCCATCTGCATCTGTACTAAGCTTTTGTTTCTTGGCATTAAGCGGACCACATTCATACCTTTGAGCCTTATAGTCTGCTGCAAGCAATTTCTTTCATCTTTATGGCTGCTTACCACTACGAAATGTGTCTTGTTCTTTTTAGTTATGTTGTGATGAGGTTCAGAAAGTGTCAGAACCCGAACAATAGATCCCCATGGTGGCGTCAGGATCTGGGGTCACTGGAGGAGAAACAGCAATCCTTCCTCATTATCCTGGATAAAGACAGATAAAGAAATTGAATATCCTTGAGTACATCAAAGTTTCCACACAGGCTAGCTTGCTGCAGCCTAAGAGCAACATTTCAAATGATGTTTAGAAATCTGATCCTGAGGCACCTGTGGCCAGACAGGCAGGCTTTTCCTGTCAGCCTGCTTCTCTCTTTTGTGGGATACCCCCTGCTTAGAAAGAGAAAAGCTTAGCATATGCCAGGCCAAGAGGCAGAGGAACTCTTGGCATCCTTGGGAGTTCATCTGGGGTCTCCAGTAGGTTAATTCGATTTCTGAATTTTTGCTTTTGCAGGTTTTTATTTTTAACACACAGTATTGTGTATTCGTGATGCAGGGGAAACCTTGGCTAATTCTTATGGCATGCCTACTTTCCAAGCAGGAATGTGATGTGATGAAGGGGCATACTCAGTCTACCCAGGCTTGTAAAGCATGGGAGCCCTGTGGATACAGAGATGCTACATGAAGCTGGGGCCCTAGGAGGGGCTTTAGGCAAGGGAGTTCAAATGTAATCTCCCTTAGCAACAGTGGCTGGCAGAGGAGAGGGGGAGGGAGAGGGAGAGGGAAAGGGAGAGAGAGAAACAGCTCATAGGGTCTTTGTACAGGTAGAGCCTAGGTGATAATCTCCCCTTAGAAGCTCATTCCAACTAGAGGTGCTAGCCCAGCACCTATGGGGTGCTCTCAGTCCTGGTAATGTGCCCTGAGGAAAGGTTTTTGGGGTAGAAGGCACCTTGTACCCTCATTTCTTTTTCCTGTGACTACTCACTTGTCTAATGGTGGATGTAGCATTTCTGAGTGAGGAATGCCTGGCCTCCTGCCTGCAGACCTCACCAGGCACATTCCTCCAGAAACAAAGGGGCCTTTTCTCCAAGAATTCCACGACAGCTCTCAGGTTGGCCGTTTCCTAAAAGATTGTTTTTTTTAAAAAAAAACTGCACAGTACTAACAGCATTTGCGTATCAACCTGTGTAAACTATCTAAAAAGAATATGGAGGGACTGGGCTGTAGCTCTGCATCACCAGAGAGTGCTTGCATAGCATGTGAGCAGCCCTTGATTCCAGGCACTGTGAAACCAGGCATGGTGGAGCACTTCGTTAGTCTCAGCGTTACAGAGTGGGAGCAAGAGGACCAAAAGGTCCAGGTCATGCTTGGCTATCCAGAGTCCAAGGTCAGCCTGGGAAACACGAGAACCCCAGGTCATCCTTTTGTAGTGTCTCAAGCACATGGCTGTCCAGTTTTGTGCCAGGACTATGAAGTGTTACTCTGTATTCACCTTCTCTCCCTTTCCATGCATAAAGAGGATGACTGCATGCCCTATTCTGTACCAGGCAACCCTCTCCTCACTACGTCAAGTCTTAAGGAACTTTCTAGGTCAGCCCAGAGAGCGCCTACTCTCTGCACCTACCCCAAGCTCCCTGTGTGGAGACACACGTGTGCATAGCTGACCCTGGAGTGTTGAGTTACTCTTCTGTGGTGGATGAAATGAGCTTGCTTTTCCTCAGCCTCTGTGGATCAACTGCATTTACCACCAACACCACCCAGCAGTCACAGCAGCGACTCTGAGGGCAGCCTGAGCCCCAACCCACGCCTGCATCCCTTCAGCCTGTCTCAGGCCGCCAGCCCTGCCAGAGCCGTGCCCCGGGGCCCCTCTGCCTTGTCCACATCTCCTCTCCTCACTGCTCCACATGTAAGTATCTGGGTGCCCCCCCCTGGGGAGCCGGGAATTCTTTCAGTATGATTTTTCATCTTTTCTTATGAAATCTTTGTTTAATGGTCAGAAGTATATGTCCATGCTTCTGTTGCTGTAACAAAATACTCAGGACTGAGTAAGTTAGGGAGGAAGGATGTTTCTTTTGGTGCACAGTCCCGGAGGTGGTGAGGTCCAAGAAGATGGTGCCTGCATCTACTTAGCCTCTGGAGAGGAGGGTCCATGCATGGCAGAAAAACAGAAAGAAGCAGCAGGGAGTGGGAGGGGCACATATGCAAAGGAGACAGGGAGGCAGTGGTATTGTATATCCCCATGGTAACTACCCCAAGTCACTCCTGCAAAAAGTCATCCATGTGTATTCTTCACACCTACGCTTCTCAAGGGTACCACATAGGACCAAGCCTCCAGGTGGGGGACACACTGGATTGGAGCCACAGGATCAAAGCAGGGTAGTAAGAACCCTAAAGAACATGTTTATAAAGACCTGCCTACAAATCTCAGGAATTCTCTTTTCATATGCAGGACCACTCTTTATCCGTTTGTTTATTCTCTAGGGCTAGAAGCCCAAGGCATAACATTTCTGTTCTTTCCCCCTCAAAGTTATTCCATAAACATTTGCCATGAATGCAGATGATCCTTCCTTAGTGTGTATTGGGGAATGCTTTTCATCTTTTAGATAAGCATTCTTGGCTAAAATGTTGAAAAGAAAATCTCTCTGCGATTAAGTCCTTTAAGGTCAAAAGCTCAAAAACATAGTTTAATCTTTGTGTGTGCTGGGAGGGTTGAGGAGCCTTAATCCAAGATTCTGGGACAGTATCACAGGTCATCATTCATCCCGCACACACATAAAAAGGAGGGGTAGAGAATTCACACTTTACTGTTTTAAAGAGGGAATCTGATTTCTAGAAAATCTTAAGAATTAGAAGCAGATTTCTAAACTTACACTAATATTACTTTTGAGGTTTACTTGTCCCCGTAAGTTTTAGGTCTTAACAATGTCACCATTACTGAGAACAAAGGAATTTGCTTTCCCTTCTTGCCTTTTCTATTTGAACCTGGCTTTTACTGTTCAGATTATTGGAATTATTTTCACCCTCTGTGTCTACATCTCCTTATATTTTTCACACTTGTGGGGTAGTTCCCCACTCCGCTGCCCCTGCCAGCAGCCAGGCAGTGTTTCCTTGCTGTCTATGTGCCCTGTGGTGCCCCAGATACCTTTCTTGTATTAAGCAGTTTTCCCTTTGCTGTCTGTGCGTCACGAGCTCACCTGCTCTGGGCAGAGGTGTCTCCAGTCATTTCCTGAGTGCAGCATTGCCCTTTGCTCAGAACACACTCCTCATCCTTAGGATGAGTCATCCCTTCTCGTGAGAGCAGCATTCGGGTCTTTTCTCCTACTCTAAGCCTTCCCTCATCCCCTACACTCACAAGGGTCCTCTTTCTCTGCAAGGCGGATGCTCCTTCAGTCAACACCACAGCTCAACATTGAACCACTCTCAAGATTTCACGGGCGTCACTTCTGTCTTCCCATCTTGATCCTAAGACAATTTTGAGATGGGGTTGTTTTCAGTCCTCTGAGGCAGGGAGCATGGATATTAGGCACTAGTGAGTCAGCTTGTGTGACTAATAGAAACATGTCACTGTGTTCTGGACTAAATGACGGGCTGTGGTTCTCATCTTCATTGCGGGGATAGTAGGACTCTCAGAAGCCTGAACTTCCATGGAAAATGCCTGCTGTTGTATCTCTGAGACTTCAGGCCCCTTGGCTGTAAGTGGAGGGAAAGAGGAACTGTGGTGTGGAGAGAGCTGGCCATAAACAATGAAAGTCTTGAATGAAGGGCTGACCAGGTAGCTCAGCATTAAGAGCACTGGCTGCTCTTCCAGAGGCCTTGGGTTAAATTCCAGCACCCGAAAGGCAGCTCACAAATGCCTGTAACTACTTTTCCAGGGATCCATGACACTGTCATATAGACATACATGCAACACCAAGGAACATAAAATAAAAATAAATAATAAAAAATACTTTAAAAGGAAAGAAAGAAAGGAAAGAAGGAAGGAAGGGAGGAAGGGAGGAAGGGAGGAAGGGAGGAAGGTAAAGTCTTGAATTAAGCTGAACTCTAAGGGAATTTTGCACTACCCCTAAGCCTCCGGGGATGTGGAGTGTGAATTCTATACTGTTACTTTGTGTGTGCTAGATAGTGGGGTATGTCCTGGGAAATGGTGGTTGGAGGCCTCCCTGGCCTTCCTTTGATTTAGAATTCTTGGCTTTAAAACAGCCACGTGGGACGTTGGGGAGGTGATATAGTGGGCCAGAACACTTGCCTTGCAAGCATGAAGACTTGAGTTTGAATCACAAGCACCCACATAAAAGAAGCCATGCATGGCTGTCTGTGTCTGACACCAGCTATGGGGCATTGGGACAGGTAGATCCTGAGAGCACACTGGCTTGCCAACCTAGGTGAAAACAGCAAGCTTCTGGTTCAGGAGAGACCCTGCCTCACTACAATAAGCAGAGAGACATAGATGAAGATGTCTGATGTCCTGTTCTAGTTTCCATATATGCATGCACAGGCAAACGTACATATACTCTACATGCATGTACCACGCATGCATGTGTACACAGCACATGCCACACACATAAGTAAATAGACAAACCACCCACATGGGTGCATGTTCTCTGTCTTTGCTTTTACTTCAAAGCATATGTGCCTGACCCAGAGGGAAAGAGGTCCCTTTCTGTGGGCCGTGAGATTCTGTGGCTGTTTCTCCACGCTCTATGCTGACGTCTTTTCTAGTTGCTCCTCTCTGACCTTTTGGTGCTCCCTGGTCTGCACAGAAGCTGCAGGGATCTGGCCCACTGGTCCTGACAGAGGAAGAGAAGAGGACCTTGATTGCTGAGGGCTACCCTATTCCAACCAAACTTCCTCTGACAAAGTCTGAGGAGAAGGCCCTGAAGAAAATCCGGAGAAAAATCAAGAATAAGGTGAGCTGTTCCACTAGCATTTCTGTGACAAAGAGGAGATCTGAGCCCTCAAGCTCCCACCCCCCAGTGTCCATAGAGGGATTTCCTGTAGTCAGCTTGGGAGTATAGACACTATCTGCCAATCTTTCCAAGCTCTTTGCACCCACCAGGGTATGAACTCGAACCAGTATGCATACTTCTTGTTGCATTATAGCCTGTTCAGGGGCAGGAGAAGATACAAGAATCTCCCTTCACAGTTCTTCTTTTTTAATTTCAGCCTTTTGATTTTTATGATATATATATTTAATATTTTCTTCTTCTATGTGTAATTTATTAACAATATAGTTTTATGCTGGGTCACTTAAAAGTTTGTTTTTCCTTTCCTTTTTTTTTTTGTGTGTGTGTGCATGTGTGTGTTTTGATTTTGTTTTTGTTTTTGTTTTTGTTTTTTTTGTTTTTTTTAGACAGGGTTTCTCTGTGTAGCTCTGGCTGTCCTAGAACTCACTCTGTAGACCAGGCTGGCCTTGAACTCATAGAGATCAGGCTGCTTCTGAGTCCCAAGTGCTGGGATTAAAGGTACGTGCCACTACTGCCCAGCAAAAGTTTGTTTAGTTTGTGTTAGTAGTCTGTGATAAAAACAAACTCCAGTCACCCAGCCTCTGAGCTCATCTGTTGCCTGCAGGGCTATGACCCCAGCAAAAGGAGCAGGGGAAGCAGGCAGAATGAGCAGAAGGCAAGAAGAAGGGCCGGAGCCGCACCTCTTCACCCTCATGCAGAGCCAGCAGACAGTTTATACAGATCTAGGCCCAGCTGGCTGGTTTTATATTTAATTGAGCCAGCTGAGGGCCAGGGAGCTGACATCACTTTTCTAAACTATTTCAGTCATCAGTCTGTGACCCAGAAGTTTGTTGGTGTGTTAGCAGGATCTGTCTGGGCCCGAGACAGAGTTGGTGATAAGTAGATGGGTGTCCAGTTTGAACAAAGGGGAGTCTGCCACCGAGGTGAGGCCAGCCTTGCTGATCTTCATGCAGGTGGCCCGCTAGTTTCCATTCACTCCTGTTTTACTTACAAAAATGGAAATTCACTCCCCTCCCCTCCTTATTTCACAGATTTCTGCTCAGGAAAGCAGGAGAAAGAAGAAAGAATACATGGACAGCCTGGAGAAAAAGTAAGCCTGCTCACTGACTGGCTGTGTTTATTAGGTAACACTCATCTGGCAGTTTGGCGTCGTGACCCCAGTACATCAGCAGTGTTTGCCTGCCCCCTAGTGGACATCCGGAAGGAACGGCCTATAACTGTGTTGTGTCAATCACTGCTTTTTGACCATGATCTTGAATGCTTCCAGGTTCATTGAGCAAGCCTTAGAGTTTGAAATTCTCTGAACTCCCCAGAGGAAATGCTTAGCTTCAGTGTACAGGAGCAGTGTTGTTTAACCAGTTCCTATTGGCCTCAGTGATACAAATAGGACTGTGCTATTTCCTGTACTCTGCAATGCATGCTGTGGACAGAGAGAATTTTTGCAAAAACACATGAAGGCACCTGTTGTTCCTTTGAAAGCCCTGGAGTGCCCCGAGGGCTCAGAGAAAAGTGTGAATGGAGTACCATCTCTACCAGCCTTAGAAAGTAGTTCTCCATCCGACCAGTTGTTGTGATTTTGAGATAGGAAGGAGGCCCTGAAACATCCACCAGTTAGTCGTTCCCATTTGTGCATGTGAGGTAAGACACTGGCTGGCTTACAGCTAGTTAAGAAGTTTCTATAGTAAGTAGTTTTCTCTGACCTGGCTTAGGTGTAGGTGATGTGGCATTGGAGGCCCCCCTTCTGTTTTATTGTGTCCCACAGGTATCCATAATCAAGATTATTTCTATGGATCTCTCCTCTCTGCCTCTCTGGGCATGTGGGCTCCAGCACTTCACTGCCCTGGGTTCTGGTTCCGCTTGCCTTTCACCCAAGCTCCAGGCTTTGTGTCAGACGTGGCCAGGAGTGCAGTTCACTGGTGGCTCTCCATCCTGTGGTCTAGTGATGGATGGAGCCACAGGAAGAGGCAGGGAAACAGACTGAGACGCCTGTCGGGGTTATGCGTATCTAGCCCCAGCTCCTTCCTAAGGAGAGCCCTGACCTGCCACGTTGTCCCTTTGGACTCTCAGTCTCTTCTCCACTCAGACTGCCACAGCTCTTCCTAACTGACCCCAGTCCTTTCCCTGTGACACCAAAAATCCCTGGCTGAGCAGTTGCCCCATGGAGAGTGGCTGAGTGTCTTCCTGCTCTCTCCACAGAGTAGAGTCTTGTTCAACTGAGAACTTGGAGCTTCGGAAGAAGGTAGAGGTGCTGGAGAACACCAACAGGTGAGTGTGGCCAGAGGAAGGAGTCACGGTCCAGTGGGAGGGGTCATAGTCCAGACCAGAGTGGGAGGGATGGGGATTCTACCGAGAGTGTGGTTGGGCCAGAATCCCTAGGTAGCTGGGCACCACCTGCCAGTGCCTGCTCCCTGGCTCCCCACACACACCGTGCACAGGGGAAGGGTGATCATAACAAGGACTGTTAGAAAGAAGTTTAAAAGGAGTGGGCTGGGAGTGTGACTCAGTCGTCAGAAGTGTTTGCCTCACACGCACAAAACCCTAGGTTCAATGCACAGAACCACACAACACAGATTAAAACAAACAAACAAAAAACATGTTAAAAGGGGGCTTGGAGCAGAATAAAGTCCCTAAGTCAAATTCTCCTGAAAAATAGCACTCAGTTTCACAAGTGTACAAAGAATCACTGGGATTTAGTGTCTGTTAATTTTAGCAAGGATTGTCTTTATTAGTTTAAAGAGAGAGCCGTGTTTTTTGTAAGCTTGTTTGTTTGTTTGTTTAAATTAGTGGCTTACATTTCAGCCCCACTTTGAAAACTTATCTGTAGCTCTGAACTGATTAATTCTTGAGACATTTTCTGTGTCAGTTACTGTTTTGGGCACATTGTAGATAATAACTCACTCATTTTCATGGGAGGTTGTGGAGCGTATCCCTATCATATAGACAAGGTCTGGGTCTCAGAGAGGTTAGGGGATTTGCCCAGGATCACTCAGCAATGTAGTCCTGTGAATTACAATATAGAAGAGTCCTGTTGGGTTTAACCTTGGTTCTTATGCAAGGGGTCAGGATGGGGTGAGACACTTCACATTTGATTCAGGATGTGTGTTCATGGACACACACGATGCTCACTATGCTCTGAAAGTGTCACTTAGTAGTCAGAGAGTCCCGTCACTGTTATACGTCCAATAAATTAAGCAGAATCCTGTCACTGTTATACGTCCAATAAATTAAGCAGAGAAAATTTTATTGGAACCTAAGAAAATATAAATTAGTTGCTGTGGGTTCAGTGTTAATGCTTAATAACAAAATTTCATAGGCTAAGGGGTCTAGCTAAATCTCTTCACATGCTTTCAACAGTGACTTTGCATTTGAAATCTGTGTCCTGTATATATGTGGTTTGTTGTAGCATCAGGCTGAGCATTGAACTGCTGTCAGTGGGAAGCAGCTAGGTTCCCCCTTGGTAATCTAGAAAGGCCCTTACCTGACAGCTCTGTGCTCACACTGCAAGGCAGGATCATCCCAGTGACATCATCCTCCTGTGACATTCCGCCTGACCTGATGGACTGAACTGCCTCCCAGTGTAGGACTCTGGTTTTGCTGCTCATCTTTGCCCAGCCCCAGTCTTGTTCTGAGTCCCTGTCTCCAGCTGGCCACCTTCTCACCAGCAGAGGTGACTCCAGCCACTTCTTCAGCATTCTGTCTCCTGCCCTTCACTTGCTGCCATGGCCCTGAGCTGGGGAGGGGCAGAAAGAAACCCTTCAACATTACTCTGTCAGTCTGTGTCCTGTCTGTCCCAGCTCTGCTGTAAGGCCTCCTGTTGGCCACACGGGTGCAGCAAAGCCTCAGCAGGACTGTGCTGGGGCTAAGAAGGAGCCTGTTGAGGAGAAGGGCTCACAGAACACCTGGTCTGGGAAGAGGTCCCCTTGCCTCTCCACCTGGCTGCACTTTGCTTTGTTTGTTTCTTCCTTGATTATCATGAACATTTAAAATTTTGTCCCTGTTTCCACCCCCAAGTGCTAGGATTACAGGTGTTCATGCCCTTACCAGACTTGAACATTTTTAAAATTTTTGCTTGTTGGCTTAAATCAGGTAAACCCATAACCTGATTTCAAACACAGGTTGAAACTGGCCCAGGCATCCATCGCATGTCTTCTTATCTTTAACATGCGGATTCTCTTCCATGTCTGTTTGCCTACTACAGAGCCCAGCCAGTCATCTTATGGCTTCCACAAGCCTAGCATGCCTGCGGTGCTCTTTAGACAGTCCTGTGTTTACTGTGGAATGCTTTGCTTTCTTTTTGAGTTTTTGTATACATTCCTCCTAGGGTCCTCTCCTCCTCCTGGGGAGGCATGTAAACACTCATTATTTGGTTATCAGCAGTTTCTAATAATTACCTAGATAGATCAATACACACGGGGTTTAGAAACAGCCTTCTGGGCTCCAATCATTTATTAGCAGGGTATTTTTATTTAATAATGTTGTGAGGGATTCACGAATGTATTTGTATGTGACTGGGGAAGGAATGGAGGCCAGAAATTGGAATCTTTATATTTGTCCATTGATCTCCACATTGTGTTTTGAAACAGGGTCTCTTACCGATACTGAAACTTGACATTTCTGTAGACTGGTTTTCCAGAGAGCCTTCGGGATCTGCCTGTCTCCATTCCCCATCACTCTCCACCCTCAGTACTGGGGTAACTAGAGCACACTGTCACACACTGGCTTTTAAAGGAGTTCCAGTTATCTTCATGCTTACATAGAAAGCGCTTGGCCCGCTGGGTTAGAACCATATGGTGATGTATGTCTGCACTCCCACTGGAAACAGATGTGTCCCAGGGTTCACTGGCTACTCTGCCTAGCGTAATTGGTGAGTGTCAGGCCAATGACAGAGCTTGTCTCAAGAAACAAGGTGGGCATCTCCTGAGGATGGTACCTCTGGCACGCATACACACACACACACACACACACACACGTACATACCTTTTACCTCTCTACCTACACATACACCCACACTCATACACACAAACACAAACATATACACACAGTCAAGTTTAATACTTATACAGAATATATACTTAAACCTCAAAATTCTTTGATTTGGATTTATCACTACAGGGATAATTCTATCTGGGACAATTCATATGTCTGTGTTTGCATTCTTTTTTTTTTCACCTTTACCCACTCTGTGTTTGCATTTTTATTAAAATCTTTTCATTGAACAACATACACTTGACTCATTCTCCATAGATATGTTTCCATTGAATCTTCATCTGAAACTGTTTCATAACTCTACCTCAGGACATTGGTGTTTGACAGCGGCTGTCAGTGAATGTGGTCAGGATTATTGGCGCTGGCCAAAACAGAGAACGGGTTTTGCTTGTTTTGTTATATCTTTAACTTTATCTGGGTGTAACTGACAGATGAAGCCGAATGTTATTGATTGTCATCATTTACGATACGTGTGCACTGTGAAATTATTAACACAGTTGAGTAAATTACGTGGTTGCCTACATGCGGTTACTTCTCTTTTTCTCTCATGCAAGTGCTTCAGATCAAAATAAGAATTAACAGAAGTCTTACTGCCCTGTCAATAATTGTAGTGACCTGATGTACATCATCAGCTCATAGAACCTTTTCACCTCAAAGCCTTTAACGAACATCTCTCTCTCTCTCTGAGTTGGACTTTTTATAAGTCATTCTGTGTATAAGCAATGTCGCAGTATCTTCCTGTCTCCATCTAGGTTCTTTCACTTCTGCAACAGCAAACCCCTCTGGTTGACCCTAGTTTGCTTGACTACCAAGAGTCTCCATCGGGCCCCCTCCTGAGCCTCTGTGTGTTCATCATAGCCAGGACCCATATTTCATGTATTTTGGCTTAAGAGGCAAATACATAAAAGCGCTGTTCTTGCATGGTCTCTGGTGGGGCCTGCCTTCCTACCACTTCCATTCTGCCCTCCCTTTCCTGTTTTTCACAAGGGCCTTTCCTTTCTTGGAAGACCACAGTAACCAAAACGGCTATGGCGTAAACACTGATGACCCTGTGTCCCGGTGCCAGGTGGCAGGGGAGTCTTTTGGACCCCTCGTCCTGTCACATGGTGTTTGAACTGAGCACAGGTTTGGACTGAGTGAACACACAGCTGTGTTTGTGTAACTGTTGATGCTTCTCCATTGCTGTCCTTTGGAGGCAGCTGGACAGAAGCAGAAACAGATGACAAGTGTGGATGGGAACTCAGATTGCAGGCATGGGTGGGAGATGCAGGGTGCCATCATCTCACAGGACATAATGCGGTGAGTAAACATCTCCTATCTTAGGAGCAAGGTAAAGAGTTCCAATCTGAACTCTTTTAGCTATAGGATCCTAACATGTTATTGATTTCTAAAGAAAAGGACCCCTTTTTCTGAGCTCAGGGCACTGGATGGGGGCCAGCCAGCTGGGGGTGGGGTGGGGCTGTCTCTATTTCCTCTCTCTCCAGAGCTGACACATGGTATGAATGCACCTTCCTGACGCCTTTCCTAAGATGATCCACTAATTGCATGCCATCAAGGAAATGAAGATAGAAGTGAGATGGCGTCCTTGGGGACCCTTTCTCCTGAGCTCAGTCAGCAAGTGTGTTCGCACTTAGCAGTGGGTTGGGGCTGCAGGAGACGCCTCTGTGGCTCTGAGCTCATCACTGACCCTGCAGGAAGGCCCATCATTGCCTCACTCCTGAGACATCCTGTTCTTTCGCCCCGGGGCCACTTTGCCTAAGTGATACACGTATCCCACCCAGCCCATTACAGGAAGCTGTTCGAGGCTCAGTTTGTGCCCTTCATCACTTGCTTTGTTCGGCCTCTAAAAGGCTGTGGGCTGCAGTCTCTCTCCTCCTGCCTTGATTCTTTAGACTCTTAGGAATTTGGTCTTAAAATGCATCTTAGAGAACTTGTTTCCCTGCTAAGTCACCATAAGGTCCAGTGAGATTAAAGTTGTAAAACAGTTCCGAGTAGAAAAGGGACTGGAACCCAGCCTCTTGACTTTCACCCTGATGTCTGTCTGCGCCTCCCTCATGCTGTGCTGCCCTCTCCTCCACACAGCATGGAGCAACTTTACAGCTGCCAGGAGGGCCTCTGCTTTAGAGGGTCCTGCTTTTCTCTTCTCTGACCACACCTTCTCCATGGGATGCATCTCCTCAGAACTGGTACTCTGTGCTGGTACCCAGGATCTTAGAAGTTTCTGTCCGAGTGCTCTTAACCCATTTCCAGGGTCAGTGTGAACTTCTATCCCAAGTCTG